ATATGCTCTCTGTATGTGTGTATATATATCTCCTCAATATATGTTCCATTCTATATGCATCCGAAGAAGTGGGCTGTAGTCCATGAAAGCTTAAGCTCTAATAAATTTGTTATTCTCTAAGGTGCCACAAGTACTCCTGTTCTTCTTTTTGCGGATACAGACTAACACGGCTGCTACTCTGAAACCTGAAGAAGTGAGGTTTTTACTCACGAAAGCTTATGCCCAAATAAATCTGTTAGTCTTTAAGGTGCCACCAGACTCTTTGTTGTATTAATACATAGTGTATTTCATTTTCAAAGTTCTGGCTAGGGTGACAAGGAACATTTGCATTGTACCTCAGAAGCTGCACATGGTTGCTGAACATTCCCAAGCAAAGAGGGGTTAACAAACCACTACTGTTATCAGCGGGTGAAAGATAGTGGGTTCCTTAGCCTGGTGTTTCCAGACAGGGAAGACAGCAAAGCAATTCATTTGCCAGTAATTTTCCTGAATAAACTCTGCTTTCACCTCCCTAGATAGTAATCCTTTTGTAAAAGGAGAATAATGTAACCGCTCAAACACAAAAAACAGACGTTGGGCTTTTCTTCTCTCAAGTGTTTGCATTCACAAAGCTGGATTCTGTCTTCCATTGTGAATCCTTCATATTGCTCCAACTGCATAAAGGTGCTGTAAGCCCAGCAGAAATGGCGCAAGGAAGTACATGCTAGAAGGCAATTCCCCTTGCAAATGCTGGCAGAATGGCACTACTGCACCCTGTGCTGAGTTCGCCTGTCATATCACCAGATATGCATCTCAGCCTTGCTTTAGGAAAAACAGCACTTCCAAACAGCATGAATTATGCTCTGCAAAATCATTTCCTATTGCTAAGGAAAACAATCCTGGCATTGCAAAATAAGTTGACAAACAACTTCTCTCAGAAAAATACCCCTAAAACCACAGTACACTGGTTAAACTTTAAACTGTGTTTAAACTTTAAACACATTAAACTGATGCAGAGTGCAAGAGAAAAGAAAATGTTATAGGTACATTTGCTTTAGTTGAACCCAATGTTCAGTACAGCCAGTAAGCAGCTGTACTCTAACCCTAACCTAATGCACAGAGTGCCTTTATATTCATAGCCCTCTGAAAGCCCACAAATGAAACAACTTACAGTACTTTATTTAACGTGCATAGAGGAGGTTGGCTTTAAGTTTTATTTTATCCATGTAACTGAAAGTGACTTGTTGAGGATTTGTGACCTGTTGTGTGTTCTCTCTGGCCAAAAGAAGTAAAATAAAGTCTAATGTTAATCAAGTGGAATCCTCTTGTGGCACAGTGTTTACTTAAAATATCCAAAAAGTATTTCTGATTTCCACCAGATATGGAACTCTATTTCCTGACCGAAACTGATCTGCACTGTTATTGTTCTTTAAGAGCTGACATGTTTCAAGCCAGTAGAGGCTGCATACAAGTGATAAGCAAAGCGATCCCTATACGTATGCCCCTTACCTCTTAGACACAAGAGCCTCGACTAGGATGATATAAATGCGAAGAACTTTATTTAAAAAAATAAAAAAGACATGAATTTCATGGTGGTAAAGGTGCTGGACTAATAGCCCTCTGAAAGCTGAAATCCAATGTATTCAAAGAAAAGGTACAGCACAGAGTGTAGAAGTCCCGACACATTAATCTCTGCCAGTGAGATTAATCTCTGATCTGCAGGAACCACCTCTGGGGGGGAGAACACTGCAGTCTGAATAGGTCTCCAATAAGCCTGCTGGCAAGGGGACAATGATGGCTGTATTATGTGGCTACCTAGCCACCACAAAGTGGACTACAAAATATCAACTTGCTTCAAACAGGCCATCTGACAGCTGAGATAGAGAAATGACTGTCACAACCGCCAGGGGTGGCTCCAGGCACCAGTGCACCAAGTACATACCTGGGGCGGCAAGCCGCGGGGGGTGGCCTG